TTGTCTTCACATGCTTTCCGTAGATGTTTAAAATGAGCTTGTTTCTTTGGTGCGTAGCATTTGTGTAATGTTGCGTTGGCATGTGAGTTCCTACTCAGTCATCATCTCTCAATCACCTGTTGGCTGCGAACTGCCACCTCATCCGGTGTCCGTTGAGAAGGGCATTATTGGTGGTGATGCAATATGTCTACCGTAACACCCACCCACAGCTCTCAGCCGTAAACTTCCAGAACATGTTTAGAGAGCTTACAGGGCCGCAAATGTTTTGCAAATCAAAACAAATGTGAAGGTCTCTCAGTTTCGGCTAGCAATGAACTCCAATAACTACCCAAGTGAGTAAGTGAGACAAGGGATAGACAAACCGTTCAAGGAGCCAACCCAATCTAGGCAAGCACCCATTCTATGGGTTTCGCACATTGGATAATCATCACATTAAACCTGTTGTGAAACATTGCAGTTTCCCATCCACTCCTGGCCATACATCCCAAATCCAACTCCAATCCAAACTTCCTCCTAAGGTCAATTGAAGCGCTCCGAGACACTACCCCGCGTGAAGGACGCTATGTCAATGCAAGTTGTTGTTGAAACAACAAATTCAGTCACTATCCTGAATATTGCTAGTCAGACTCAGACAATGATCCTGGACCAGCTTTGGAGCTTTGCTATGCAGGACACTACCTGAATTTAAGTATTGTAAGTCGATCTCTGTGAGCAGCAATAGGAGAGCGCGAGCCCTTAGATGAAAGTGCTGTTTGCCAAACCCGGGTGGGATTCCATGAATGAATGGGAAAATGCAAAATTTCATGACATTAATAAAGAAATACCATATTTTTCACTCCAATATTTTTACAGCACTACAAGTGTGGAAGTTTGGAAAATCTCCATCATTTGGAGATCGCACAAGTTGATGTCAATACTCTTGTGTGTGGATTGCTTTGTTTGAACATGTGCCATTTGTTTGTTAAATTGGACTGTGGACGGCGAGGTTTTTTTTATGCTTCTCCCTCCCGATTTATAGCCAGAAGCTGGGCTTCAGAGATCGGATGAAAATAAATAGTCCCCGGATTCAGAGCACAAGGACCAAACAGGCATCAGCTCCAAGCATCACACGCTCACCCAGCACAGAGAACGCAACACAAATCAGTCCCAACAAGGTACAGAAGAGCTGGAGTTTCAATGACAGGACCCGCTTCCGGGCATCTCTCCGCCTGAAGCCCAGACAAACGGTGGACAGTAAGTACGGAGAGGAGGCTCCAGCTTTCTGTTCTTTCAATATTTCCTGTTCTCTCTGTTTGCACACAGTGGTCTTCTTCTATGTTGAACACTTCCAAGCAATAAAGTTTGGAGGCATTTTGTAATGTTACCTTGCACTAATTCAGGGTTAATGTGTTATGAAATGTTGAAAACTCTCCCTAAAGGTGTTCAATCCTGGGGGTTTCCACCGAGGGAGGTACCAATGACATCCCTGAGCAATTTGCTCGAACCATCACCGTTATTCTGTGAGTCACAGTGAGTGTCACAGGTTATTGGACTATTGGGGCAGTTGAGCCAGATTCTGTCCTCAGTGGATATCCACACGCACACCATTTGAAGGGATTTCTAGGTAGTAATTGGGCAGATTTTCCAACTCCCTCATAGAATCATAGAACATTAAAGCGCAGGAGGCCATTCGGACCATCATGCCTGTGCTGACTCTTTGGAAGAGTTACCCAATCATTCCCACTCCCCCGCTCTTTCCCCATATCCTGCAAATTTTTCCTTTTCAAGCACCTATCCAATTCCCTTTTGAAAGTTGTTATTGAATCTGTTTACACCACACTCTCAGGCAGTGTATTCCAGGGGTGCTGTTGTTTGTTGAAACAACAAATACAGTCACCCTCTTGGATATTTCTCGTTAGAACTGTTCAGAGATTGATCTTAGACCAGTGATGGAGCTATGTTCCACAAGATACAAGCCAATCCCAGGCCTCGGTCACCAATCCCACGTCTCAATCACCAACCCCAGGCCTCAACCACCAACCCCAGGCCTCAATCACCAACCCCAGGCCTCAACCACCAACCCCAAGCCTCAATCACCAACCCCAGGCCTCAACCACCAACCCCAAGCCTCAATCACCAACCCCAGGCCTCGACCACCAACCCCAGGCCTCAATCACCACACTAAGTCCAGGCCTCAATCACCACCCTAACCCCAGGCCATCATTGCGACGCGCACAATCCCAATTTCCGGTGTGTGAATGCCGGAGCTGGGGCGCTGGTGTGTTGAGTGGAACGTGACAATCCCTGTTTTGTTTTAAAGTGGAGAATCAGAGTGAGGACAGTTACGACGAGAAGGCGTTCCATTGTGACATCAGCATGGAGGACATGACCCCCATCGTGAAGACCCTGATCCGGGCCATCAGGTCAGTGCTGCACAGCTCACAATTATTTTCTAACCGTCACAAGTTTTCCATCAAGAACATTCAACAATATCTATAAAACGCTTTGAGACATTTTATAATAAAAACTCCTTCCAAAAAAAAAATTGGTCACTTCACTCTACGACTGTTTGTGGGACGCTGCCGTGCACAATTGGCTGACGTTTTTCTCCCACAAATATACAGTCAATTCACTTTCTAGTTTATTCTGTGAAGCGCTTTGAGACGTCTCAAAGACGTGATAAGGCTCTATATCAAATGCAAGGATTATTATTATTATTATTATCTTTAGGTCGCGCCTTAAGACCTTCCTCTTCAACCGTGCCTATAGTCACCTTCCCGCTCCCCTCAGGCTCCGCCATTGTTAAATGCTCAGAGATGCCGCCCGGCATGGAGGGCACTATATAAATGCAAGTTGTTGTTGTTATACCCTCTCTTTCAAGCACCACAATTACCCCACTTTCAATTTTCCTTGGTGCCAGCCAAGTAGACCACCATGGTCATTCCCAATCCTGTGTGTTTCCCACCTCAAACAAATCATCCTTTTACCCTCCTCAGGTCTGGATTGTGATGGCACTGTAGTTGTGTGGGCATTATGGGTTGTGTTGGCACTGTAGTTGTGTGGGCACTGTGGATTGTATTGGCACTATAGTTGTATGGGCACTGTGGATTGTGTTGGCACTGTTTTTATGTCCCACACAGTTCCAATCTCTGTGTAAAGTAGTTATATCTGTTCACCCACCCACTTGAATGAGTTCTTGCTCCCTCATTGACAGAATGCTGGCTGAGTGACAGAAAACAGTAAAGAATGTTTTTTAAATTGGCGATATAGTGTGTGATGTGCAATTTCCTTTGGTGCCAACCAGGTGAACCATCATGGTCATTTCCAACCCTGTGTGATTTCCACCTCAAACAGACTGGGCATATCCCCACTTTTACCCTCCTCAGGTCTGGGCAACAAATACAATTTTTACTCAGTCTGTCATTGCTAAGCCCCTCACTGCCTGGTCTTTATCTAGTGAATCGCGGCTGGACATCCACCAAGGCTAATGCGTGCTTCCTACGATTGGGTGCCCAAAACTGAACGCAAAACATCAGATGAGGTCTGAACAGCTCTCTGTATAATGGAATAGCAACTCTTGCCACCAGGTTTCTTGTTAGAAAGGCTAGCATCCGTTAGCTACTGTCAAGGTTTTGTTAGCATTGTTATGTTGGCACTGTGTGTTGCGTTGGCACCATGGGTTGTTTTGGCACCGTGGGTTGTGTTGGCACCGTGGGCTGTGTTGGCACCGTGGGCTGTGTTGGCACCGTGGGCTGTGTTGGCACCGTGGGCTGTGTTGGCACCGTGGGCTGTGTTGGCACCGTGGGCTGTGTTGGCACTGTGGGCTGTGTTGGCCCTGGGCTGTTTGGCACTGTGGGTTGTGTTGGCACTGTGGACTGTATTGGCACTGTAGGTTATGTTGGCACTGGTCTGTATTGGTACTGTGGGTTGTATTGGCAGTGTGGGCTGTATTGGCACTGTGGGCTGTACTGGCACTGTGGGTTGTATTGGCACTGTGGGTTGTGCTGGCACTGTGGGTTGTGTTGGTACTGTGAGTTGTACTGGCACTGTGGGCTGTGTTGGCACTGTGGGCTGTGTTGGTGCCATGGGCTGTGTTGTCGCTGTGGGCTGTATTGGTACAGTGGATTGTGTTAGCACTGTGGGCTGCATTGGCACTGTGGGTTGTGCTGGTGCTGTGGGTTGTGCTGGCGCTGTGGGTTGTGCTAGTGCTGTGGGTTGTGCTGACGCTGTGGGTTGTGCTGGCGCCGTGGCCTGAGTTGGCACCTTGGGCTGTCTTGGTGCTGTGGGCTGTGTTGGCGCCTTGGACGGTGTTGGCGCCCTGGGCTGTATTGGCACTGTGGGTTTTGCTGC